TGCCCCCTCCCCCGTCCGTTCCTCCAGTCAGCTCTGGAGGATCGGAGCGGGGAGGGGGGGAATCCCTGCATGAAGCCGTGACTAACAGTCATGGTCCCCCAAAATGTTTATGTTTAACTCCCCCACCCCCACGTTTACGCGCCTATAAATACGCGTCCGGTGCCCCAGCGAACAAAAATTACAATTGCGCTACACATGTTACATATCGCCGCGAACGTCGCAGTGAGAGCAATCATTTTAGGGCCATCAATCACTGATAACACTAAACTGATGAGCGGTAACAGCTTTTAAAGCGTCGCCTAGGGCCAATTTTGGGTATTATCGTTTTTTGAGGTTTCGCGCGCGCACGCAATTTTAAGGCTTGACATGTTTAGTGTCTTTTTACCCGACGTGACCCCATCTTTTATATTTTACCAAAAAATTGGGTAATAATAAATGTTTTATCATTTAATATAGGGGAAACTGTTTTTTTAAAAAAAATTTCGGTAATTTTTCCTTAATATAGTAAAAAAATAAAACCCCCAGTGGTGAATAAATACCACCAAAAGAAAGCTCTATCTGTCCCCAAAAAAGGGTATAAAATTCATTTCAGTACAGCGCTGCATGACGGAATAAATGTCAGTTAAAGTACCGCAGCGCTGAATACTGAAAAATGGCCTGGATGGGAAGGGGGTTTAACACCGCGGATGTCAACTGGCTAATTGTCAAATGTCGGCTGGAACTATGAGTAATTTTCACTCACCTCATAGTTCTCCTTTAAATCTGAAAAATGCATTCAAGTAACTTATCTGTTAACAATACTGACCTTATTTGTGTTTCACTCAGCTGTAGATCCTCAAATCATCTCTGAATTGGCACTGACACTGTCCTTCCTTCTGGAGGGTGGCAACTTTTGTTCCCCATGGTCCCTGTGTGTGCTGAAAAAGTAGCCCCCTCTCCAAGCTCGCTCCTATGATGGACTACAATCTCATGTTTAGTTTACTAATTTGTACTGAGATTGTAGTCCATCATGGGAGCAAGCTTGCGGTGGCTGCTTTTTTACAACACACACAGGGACCATGGGGAACAAAAGTAGCCACCCTAAAAAGGAAAGACATTGTCAGGTGGAATTCAGAGATGATTTAAGGATCTACAGCCGAGTGATATGCAAATAAGATACTGTACATTTTTGTTAATAGTTAGGATACTTGAATGCATTTTTAGTTATGAGTTTAGTGTCACTTTAAGCTACATTATAGATGCTCTCAATTTTGCTATAATTAACAAAATAATGTATAAAAATGAATCAGGCCAGGCACTAATGGACTAGAAGCCCTGACTCATGTTCATTGGTCCAGTTTATCCCAAAGATGTTCAACAGGATTAAGGTCAGGGTTTTGTGCAGGTCACTTGAATTCCTCCACACCAAGCTTATCAGATCTTGTCTTTTTGGAGCTGGCTTTGTGCACAAGGGCACAGTCATGGAGGAACAGGAAAGTGTTTTCCCATACTGTTGCCTCAAGGTTGTAAGCACACAATTGTCTAAAATGTCTTTCAATGCTGCAGTGTTGTATCATCAACGGGATCCTTCGCTGGAAATACTTGAACTGAATAATTTCAATAATTGACCTTTATCTGCTCACATGTACCAAGCAAATAAATTAACAAGAGACAATTTTAAAAATGTGGAATGAATGAAATCATTTAATTCTATCTATTTAAAGGGGGAAAAACACATTTTGATCTTCAGCTTCATGCAGTATTAATGTTTTTGTCCTTTACGTTGCACCATATGAATTTACTGTTTTATCCCAGACAAAAATATAATAAATGATTTGGAGGAAATGAATATGTGATGACTTTGTAGTTGGAGTATTAATAATAAATAATTTTCCTTCGTACGAAAATTTGGTCAATACAAATTTGCAGCGTAATGTGCCGTCCTGATAATTATATTATAAGAAGACATAAAAGAAGAGCAAGATAAGAAACAACACTAACCTGGCCGCCTGCAAAACAAGATATACCTGCCGGCGGATATATCTAAAAGGCATGAAAAATATTAGCAACAGGAGGCCGCAGTGTTTAAACGATTAACCAATTTTCTGAGTCTTAAAAAGATATGTCTTTATATCAAACGATTTATTTAATTTGCTTCCCAAGAAAGAAGACACTGAAAGCAAAATATTAAAATTTAATGTAACAATAAAACAATTTGCTTGTTATACCCACGAAGGTATTGCAGGTTGAGTTAATGAAAGATTGGAAACCTACTTATTTTTTATCAAGCTGGCAATAGATTATTTTTATAGTTGAGAAGCAGTGAAAAAATTTATAGCTGCAGTGAGCACTGGTTATCTGGGAAATTTTAATTTATTCTAGATAAATGCGATAAAAGGTGTTATTGAAAATCCGAGAGCAGTTATACAGTTTCGTTACTGGAAAACCCTATTTCCTTGGTATCGAGGGTCTTGGGTTTTCCTCTTATCTTCTCTTCTCAATTGGTTGTGATGTCAAATTTCTTAGAAGGATGGGAACATTATATGACAATTTTGCAAATGAAATAAAATTACTCTTCTAGTTATGCTTAAAAATAGCTAAATGTAGGGCGCATCTTGTCAGTTAGATACACCTGGTCCATTTATCTCGCCTATGCTGCTCTCCTGAGAAAACTGGCATCCAACCACATGCTTCACTTGTGACTCCAAAGGATGCATTTAAAGCTGGTCACTGCTAAGGTAAGAGAGACTGTGGAACCGATGCTTGTATTTGAACACCAAGCTTACTCCATGTTGCAAGTGCCCCAACAATGGCTTTAAAGCAGAGCATGTAGTACAATGTAAGGTCCACTTAAAATATCAGCCCCCCTTCCCCATCAATAATAGTCAAGTAGTTAAAAAAAATTCCCTGTAGGGAAAAAAGTAAATATTTATACTTTTTTTATATAACAATATTTCTTTATTAGGAAATATTTATACTTTTAACCACTGATTATGTACTGCAGGGAGTGACATCCCACTCCTTCTGACATGATCCCAGGGAATGCAGTGTAGATCAAACCTTGTTAGATGATGCTACAGCACAGTATAGTAGTGCCTTGGCACTGCAGGCAAAACCCGGGAGGAGGTAAGTATATTTAAACATTCTTGATTTTGAATTTTGTATTCCATCAGTTATTAATGATGTGCGTGGGGCTCACATAGATTAGGTGGACCATGTAAGGTCTGTTTCCAGTAGATCACTAAAACCTCATATAGTCTGCAATGTTAAAGAGACACTGTTCCCTTGCCTATTCTTGTTACAGTGACATTTGTTTAATTAGAAATTCTAATTGGATAATGTTTGTTGTTTCTAAGGACTCAATGCACGCCCAGCAAAATTATATTCTGACACTTTTTGTTTCCAGTAGGCACATTTAACACCCACGTGCTGTGCTGATATGTACTTGGTGAAAATGCAACATTTTGCATTAAAATGCAGCACAAAGCACTGCAATGCTTTATAGCATGCTGCAGCATAACCACACCAAAGATAACCAAAGTAAAGTATTGGCTTCTTGGAAAAAATGTGGAAAAAATGCATTGGCATTAAATAAAAAGCATGTCAACTCAAGTATGTGTAATGCAAGTCAACGCATGCTAAATGCATCACATGTTATGTGAATCTAGTCTGAAGGGGAATCAGAGTGCTGTATTTTGTTTTTTCACATGATTTTTATTTTAAACAGCAGTTGGGGATATTTCTTTAATATCTGACCACAGTCGGTGATAGGGAGTGCAGAATTTTTGCAATGTTTTTATTTTAAATAGATTAGTACATCTCAGGGGTGTTTTCCAAATTTTGTCTCTTCAAACTAAAGGTATAAAGAAGATCCTGCTTAAAAAATGCCTTAAAATGCGCTGTATATAATTGATGTAAATATTCATTTCAATATAATTTGGATAGTTGCTAACTTTCTGTCTGGTCCACATTTGAGCTGCAGTCTCTTTGTGGGAGAGTATTCTGGAGCTCTAATATTTGAGTACCTTAAGACTGCACACAAATGGAGAAAAACATGGGGGGCTGCCCTTGCTGCCCTTTTTTCCTGATAATGCTAGTTGCCTGGCTGTCATGTGAACCGGTTGGCTTAAATTATTTAAGCCAACAAACCCAAAACAGTCACGCAGATTTGGACTTCTGGACTTCCTTCTGGCTTTTGCTTGCTACATGTTTGTCCAAGTTCAGTGTCTCAGAAACGTATTAAAACTAAAGTTCACAAATGCCAGTATGGGTATTTTACTCTTTAAAGGTTTCCCTTTAGATACTGTTCCTTTCCCTGTGCTTACAGCACAACTCATATCACCAGCTGACCAGGAATATTTGTTCTTTCATGCAGAGTTAAATTGGACCTTTACCCCCTTTCACTAAAGATCACCTCAGCATGCAGCTCTGCGTGCTGATATGAAATCATCTTACATTCATTAGTTAAACAAACATATTTTTCTTTTGCTTACAGTTACTATTTTACCACTTCCTGGTCTTCTTGGCCATTAGTGATGTAATCTGTGCTCAAATATTGCACACTGGAAAGATTACATCAGCAGAGCATTGCTGGGAAATCTCATCTGTAATCTCATGAGATCTCAGGGAAAGGCATTTTCCTCCCCTGAGATGATGTGAATGGTCACATGTCCTAGTCACATGTGCCAGAGTTCCAGAAAACAAAAGGGATGTACATTATATTAAACGTTAGTTAAAATGGTCACTGTGAGATGAATGGGTGAGGAAAAGAAAAATAAGGTATGCAAAGAATACAAAGCCTGCAATTATACAAAAGTATATTTTTGTAGATTGTCATTACTAAACATTTGTAAAGGTGTCTTTATTGTAATTTCAAAGATATGGGTAAAGTTCCTCTTTTAGATCAGTTTCTTAAAACTACATAGCTGTGGGAGTAATGTTGAAGTTAAGAGCAACATTTATACCAGAGCATCAAAGCAGTTATAAGTACATTAATCAAGAAAGTAAAGCATGAAGCTTACATTGTTTCCATCGGTGTAACTGTTGACATCACAGAGGCACTTGTATGGTGAAACACTCATATCACAACCATTAGCATGTCCATGGCAATTGCACCTACAATGAAAAATAGATGGGCTAGCATAGTAGTGATTTTTACTACACTTGTACATGGTAAGAAAAAGTAAATCTTCCATGACTCTTGTAGGTTTAACACATTTAAAACCAATATTTGGGTCACTGTCAAAAAATTAATTCTGGCTTCATTTAGAGCTCTGATGGGAAATCCTATATTTCATAACAGAGAATGAGGAGTCAACATTGCTGGTGCACTAAAGTGGCAGCACTGAGGCTTGGGGGGTGATTTACTAACCTAAACACATGCACGCACTAGGTGCGTGTGATTTTTACACAGCAAAACATATTTATCAACCAAAAAGTCTCTAAAAGCATATTTCCACTAATGCCATATATGGAAAAATCATGCACATGATGCATATATAATGCTGCTTCACAGTTTAGACAAAAATGGTTAGCTCATGCATTTACATTCCTGCATTCATCAACGCAAGCAACACAATGTAGAGCTAATTTACACAACATCACCTTGCAATTCATGCAGGGCTTTGCACAACACACCTGCTGGGTGTGTACACACTACAAAGGTGTCTAGATTCCACCAATAGATCATGCTGGGAGGGAACACACTACAGAGGTGTATACTTGTTTGTGGCGTGTTTATAAGGTTAGTAAATCAACCCCCTTGGTGTTTAGTACTTCTACCTTGCAGCACTGGGATCCTTGGTTTGAATCCCAGTAAGGGTGGAATGTGCATGGTATTTGCATGTTCTCCCAGTGCTTGTATGGATTTTTTTCAGGTTTTACAAAGACATGCTGGTTGGTAAATTGGCCTTAGTGTGTATGTACACATGTGAAGTAGGGACCTTAGATTGCAAGCTCCTTGAGGGTGGGAACTGGTGAGAATGTTTAATGTATAAATTGTCAATGCTTTATACATGTCTGGAGTAAAGATTGACTTTCTTATAGGGAACAGCTAGAAATATTACTACAAAGCTTGCCGAAAGTATCATGCCCTTCAAGCCACACATGGCTTCCAAGCTCATCTCAAACTACACACAGTATATAAAGACGGTACCCACACACTGAATCCAATCTCACTTAACTTTCCCGATCTCAACAAAGATCACACAAGATCATACTTATCACTCACACATTTCACCCCTATGGGCTTCAGCGTAGCATTAACCTATGTAGAGTTAACCTATATTCAAGCCCTAAGGCCTCATTCATACTATTAGTGTCAAATCTGCCTTTAGAGGAAATTTCTAAACACATGTAAATGAATCTAATGATTTTTCATTTATATTGTTTTCTTTTTCTATTTTCTCTCTTAGCTTTCGCTAATGGTAATTTCACCTATTCCATAATAGCGATGTCAGATGCTGCCGGTAGACTTTTCAGTCCCTGTTGTATAATATTGACCAGTCAGCTGAATCCTCACTAGGGAAGCTTTAGGTTTTACTGAAGAGAAATTTCCTCTCACTTTTTACCCTCTGACATAAACAGGGACAAGAAGTGAAGAGTCACAGGGAGCAATTTAAAAGTTGGCATAGGATCTAACCCTGTCGAACGCAAGAAAACATTTCATTGGTGTCTGTCCATAGGTGAAATTTCCCTTCATTTTCTGTCCAGTGAGCTCTACCACCGGGACACAAGCTAATGGGAATCTGCTTCTACTGGGACACAGAAAACAGAAGAAAATCTTACAGGGGTTCTAGCCTTTCTCCATTGTGTCCTAAAGGTAAACTTATAATGGTTTTAGAATTTTTCTATTTTCTCTCCTACCTTCCGCTAATGGTGATTTCACCTATTCCATAGTACCGATGTCGGATGCTGCCGGTAGACTCTGTTGTATAATATTGACCAATCAGCTGAATCCTCACTAGAGAAGCTTTCACAAACTCTTGGAGTTCAGTGGTGCTGTGAAAATCATTGTAGCCAGGTCGATGGTTTGGTTCCGGGGTGAGAAGACTCAGGGTCAGGTTTCCTCGTGAATAAGGTGTATCCCTATACAGTGCAAAAGAGCAAAAAAAAAAGACAGAATTATGTGTGGCGGTGTGACAGATTAATGGCGGTACGTCATTCAATATTACACAAGAAGTCTAGCCAAATGTGACAAACTACTACTAGCTTCTTTTGAACATAATCTTCAATACCTAACCACCTTTGTAGAAGCAAGTAGATACATAAATATAAAACAGCCCCACTACTCATCTCAATTATCATCATCAATTAATTGATTGCACTTACAACATCTTAAAAGGACATGTGTGTTGTAAAATACATATAAAATATCCTGGACAAATCCCAACCCGGGTTTTGTCATTACCAACTTCTTTACGGACATCCCCCTAATGAATAAATTGAACACTAAGCAGTTTATTTGGATTTGGAATGCAGTGGGGACTGAGTGTTCATAACTTGAGCAAAAAAGGACTTTTAACTCAGAGAGTGTTATCACACACATAAAATAATGTCAGTGCTTAAAGCAACAACCCATGGAGAATGTTGTGATGTTTTGTGTGAGAGCAACTGCAGACAGAAAGAGTAGTGTTATTTTATACTGGTTTTAATTTAATGGGTTTGCTGTTATCTCCTTTACTGCTACTTCAATCGCACGCTTTAAAACCTTTTTGAGTTAAATAAACAAACCGTTATTTATAGAGAAACTATAATATATTCGGAAAGGGTTCTATGTATAATTAAAGGACAATGTTGAGCAGATAGGCACAGATTGTTGAAAAGGGCATATTTATGATTTGCTGACCATATGCCTTGTAATTTAGCATTATTTACTTAATTTTGCCATACCCCCCACCTGTCCTGGGGACTGTGCCAGGATTTTAACAGAATCCTGACATCTTACAGATCCAGGATGTGTCCTAGAGAGTGCCGGGTTGCTGTCTGCAGACTGTGGTGCGTTTTGGGAACAGAGTTCCACGTTGGCATTTTAGACGCCTCCAATGTAATAGCAGCAGTAATGTAATGTCAGTGGTCTCTGACAGCCTTTAACAATATGGCAGCAATCTCTTTGGGTGCCTTCTGGAAACAGAAGACATGCTAGTTCAATGTTGGTAGTTCAGGTGTCTCCAATATAATAGCTGCAGTAATTAAATGTCAGTGGTCTCTGACACTCTTTAGCAATATGGCAGCAATCTCTTTTGTTATATGTATGTGATCTCTAACATTTTCTTTTAATGGCAATACTAAATGTCTCTACCAACAATTTTCTTCTTAACTTGCCATTATTTTAAATCTAATCATGCCTATGTATACCATCCTGCTCTCTGGTGTAGTGAGCGCGACCTGCACTACATAATGATCTATAGACCCCTATCCTGGGCAGATGTTTTTGTTGTGGTGGGGGATATACAGTATATAACCAAGTGTTTGTGAACACCTGACCCTTATACCTATATCAGCTTGTTGGACATCACATTCCAAATCCATGCATATTAATATAGAGTGTGGCCTTCTTTTTGTAAGTAACAGCTTCCACTCTTCTAATGCTGTGGGAATTTGAGCCCATGTAGGCCATTTGCGAGTTCAGGTACTGATGCAGGCCAAGAACACCTGTCTCATAATTAGTTTTCCAATTAATTCCAAAGAGCCTTACCTAAACTTTCCTTTTATGCTGTAGCATTAACAGTACTCCTCAGAGGTATACACATAGTTTTAGGCATATAGCAGGTGAGATGGTCAGGTGTAGGCAAGCCATTGGCCATACAGTGTATTTTTGATTGCAGGAGTGTTATAACCTTCCTTTTGGAGATAGTTATATTGTTGACTAGTTTTTTGGCTAAAACATGCATTACTCTAAGGCTATTATTCTATTGCACCACCCCCTGCTATTGACTCACAGCACATTACCCAGTTTACCAGTTTTCAACATTTCAACATACTTGGGAATTTGCAGACAATTGACAGAGTCAGAATACTGTAAGAAGCCATTGTTCTCCATGGTAAAGTCCCCACAATCACTCGCAAGATATTGCCAATCTTCCCACGCTGAGCTCCTGTGGTTCTTCCTCTGTATTCTTAAAGCTTTAGGCAATGGGCTATAAAACCACAAAGTAATGTAAAAAACCTAAAAAAAAGGAAACACAGCCAAAAGTTAGAAACAAATGTATTTGCTATCCAAAAAGTATTACTGCAGAATCCCCTCAAACAAATGTGGTGAACCAATAAAAGTCTGCTAGGCTTTAGAATTACACAGTACCACTAATATACAAATGGATTTTGACACACTTCATTGTATGTTCACATGCTGGCTAAGCATAAATGAAAATGAGTTTATACTCTCCTCCTGAAAACAAACCCTCATAATAAAGTGATATTAAGGCTAAGAAGTTTTTTTTTAAACTATTTCCAATGCTGATAAAATCACTTACAATGGATGATGCTCCTTGATGCTTAAAATATTTAGCTTCCTCTAGAATCAGCTAGTCCCCTGCCACTGATCAGGTTATCCACTTTTAGGGAGGCTTCTTTCCCTTTCAAAGTTCCTATGGAGCCAGTCATGGAGTGTTCCCGGGCTCCAAACTGTGCCCTGCATTTTATGAGTCATAAAATTTAGGAGTAGCATGGAGTAAACATTTTAGTGTTCAATGGAGAGCACATTGAAAACTATGTTCTCCATTATAAATTGTATAAGAGCCCATATAGTTAATAGTTTAACTGGCAAGTTCATGCAACAGATATCTTCATTTTAGGTAGACGATGTTGGGTCCAACCAATCTTAGGCTTCTTGTAAATCTTGGCAGCTCTAAGGGAGAGGTCAGCCTTTGGAGAATCCAACTCAACACCAAAATCCTACAAAGCAGCCTTGGTCACTCAGCTTGAATAGAGGTATCACACCTCAACTATTAAATGCTACTAGCTACAGGAGTCATAAGAACTCAGCAGGTAATTAGCCTGCCATGTCCATTCAAAACCAATATATCAGTTTTGGGTGACATTCCACTTCAAATATTAGCACATATTGTCAGCTTGCTATGTCATTTATGTACGTAACAAAAGCCTCTTGTACGAAAGCAAGTATATGTTATAATTTGTTTAAAAGATCTAGAAAAACAGACGAATAGATTCATGAAGCAGTGTATTCCTGGGAAACAAGCTTTAACCAATGTTGACTTTGTCTGTGCAGCTCTCAGCGACACTAATTAGCTAAGAGTTATAAGAGCACTAGTCAAGATAATTATAAGCATACATCATAATCACTACATGGTAGGCTGAAGAAGAGAGTCTAAAGATAGAGTAGTTAAAGGACGCTATTAATCTGCAGGAACCATAAAATGGATGCTGAGCTACAATACATACACAGTCAACATATAGGCCCCTGTAAATAAATTAATAAGCATACATAAATAAATATAAATTACTTGTTTTGTTCTTTGTCTTATTTTCTATAACTTGTATGATTAAGAGAAGAGGAATAGTAGGCAGTATTTTTGCTTTGTAGCTGCATAGCAGGCACATATGAAGGGACTGGACAGGAGGCACAAATACCTTTTAAGGTGTCTTCATGCACCTGAGAACCACCAAATTTAGCTGGGTTTGACACTAAGACAATGCCTGCCCCACCCATTTAACCAGGCATGATCTGTTCTTGAAAGGTTTGGTGGGAAGTAGAGAAGCTGAATCAAGGTGTGTATTCAGCATCTCTGTAAACAGTATAGAGCTCTATCTAAGCCAAATACAAATTGTGGTGATAAAGAGATCCTTAATAAAAAGCTATAATCATGCTCCATGACCAAATTGCTTTTGTCTGAGAACTGGGTTTGTTTTTCATTGTAGATTGTAGAATTCTGCTTTGCCAGGTGTAATGCTCTTTTTGCGTACCACCTGTTTTACTGACAAAACTGAAAGGATTATTGGGTAGGAGACACATTTTGCTAATCTAAGACAGGCGAAGTGGGCAGAAAGGCATTTTCAGGCCCATAGACTGAGTCACCCGAGAAAACCTCTATGGTGAAGTCCTCCATATGCATTTGGCTAGAAGTTTTCTTAGTGGGAGGACAAATTCATATTAACAACCTTTTAGCTTCTAAAGCAGTGGTAATGAACTTACTTGATATACTGTAGGTCGTCGAAAGTAGGGTCCCTGACATCCCAGAAGGGCTGCACGTATTATTCAGTAAATGTAATACTACAGTAAACTGTCACAGACTGAAGATGCGCAACAGGAGATGGTTAATAATTGCAAACATGCCATAGGAGTTGCTGGTGACTGGGGACATGCTTCAGGCCATGGAGACAGGTTACTGAGACTGCTCCACTGCTGTAACTGCCCCTATACAAGTCAATGATTCCACATTTGTGCTTCCTACAAACCCCATTTAAAAGATTACTTGTGCCACATTTGATATTTATCTAAGTAATACATTGTGAAAGGGCCGCACGTGGGACAGATGGGTCTACAGCAACCTCCAAACATCAGCAGCTCCATAATCAAATTAATTTCCTTCAAAAATAGGTAAGACATTGGCTCTTCACTCTATCATCAGGCATTACAGGCTCTTAAGCCTATGAACAAAGTGCAATAATTTACGTTAGCCAATCAGAAAACAATGTTTACTTTATTTTTCTGCTGTCATTGTACAGGTAATCTTTGCTTTTTGAAGTGCCCTCTTACATAAATACTTGTAAATCTCACAGATATACTGACGTATTCCATCTGGCATATTCCATAAGGTAAAGAACAATGGGCAAAGTCCGGTAAAGCACAACAGTCAATGAAAATTCATCATCATTAAAATGACCTTAAACCACGAAATCTGATTAGTTGTTAAGAGTTCATAAAAATTGTGCATTTTAACTGCCCTTTGTGTTGCATTAAAGTGCACTTGTACTTTGGCCATAGTAGGCAAAGTAACAGTTTTATCTTATACCAGGCAGAGTAAGTAACCCTTTATTACGTTTTCTTAAGTCCCTTGCCGGATCCTGCTAAAAAAGACCTGGCACTTCTTGATATGAGGAGCAAGCCATCCAAGATACACACATAACCTACATAAAACTGCATATACATATTACTCCTCAGATAGTCAACACTTACAACAGATCTTCAAGGGGTTATGGCAGTGGATTCAGGAGGTAAGGGAGTGCAGGAATTGGGCAAAGAAGAGTTATAAGCCAGCGTGATAGACACTAGTGAGTTTTAGACCAACATATTTATAAAAATGTCACCTGATATTGTCCATTGTCTAAATCCACAATGATTGTAATGCCCTTGTCAATGTCTGATGAAGATAGTAGAGAAGAAATCCATGTTGTGTTTAGATCATTATCATTCATGTAAGGAACAGGATGAGCATCTGGATTCAGCCTTAGAACTTTATCCTTGCTCGAGTCATCCACTCCATTTGGAAGACAATACCTCCCAGACATGGGCTCCAAACGAGGGTGGCTGCTGGGACACCGGCATTCTGGCTGAATGGCCATCAGTGGAAATTTTCCAGAATATATATTAGAGATTTCTCTTTAGAAAAACAAAGCAAGATTGTCAAACCTGTAAATCTGGCAAAGAAGTGAGTGATAAGACATTGAGGTAAAAATAGACAAATCAATCAAGGGTTTAACTAAACAACACATGTGCCTGGAGGTGACATAAATGGAATACTGCTCAGACGGAGGAGGTCTAATCAAGGGAATAACTGTGACATAGCTCCTAACTGTCTTTGTTTTACAGGAATGGTCCATTTTAAAAGATTTATTCTGGAATTTTTTGTCCCTGTAAATTACCATAATTGTTAGGACTGGTCATTAGTACAAGAAAAGCACTTAAAAATACTAATGCCGCTCACAATTAATGAAAGCAACAGTAATCAGGTATGTAACCTGATACGTTGGAAGCATAATATCAACTTTTATTAATTCAAAACACTTTGCAAATGAAAATGCAAAGATTCTGAATCTGGCCAAAGAAAGTCTTTACTTTGTGTGAGGTTACCAACATGGTGACTAACAGGCACCGCTCCGCACAGGGATTTCCCCCTCCCCTTTCCATTTCTCCAGCGCTGACTGGAGGAACATACACGGGAGGGGGTGCACACAGCTCACTCTGCCTCTGAAGAGGCAGAGACAGCTGTCAAAAAGCCAGCGGGGTGGATCTCGACAGTATTGTCGGGATCCATCGCAGCTGCGGTGTAGCTCTGCGCTCTTAGCAATTAGCAGGCAATAGACCGCTATATACTGAGTTTTGTGTATATGTCCCCCTGTGACCCTGAAGAGAATTGTTAGGCCATAGTTCTCTTTTAAACATTTGGTCATGTGGTCTCAGCTGAAAGAGGATCAGATGATGGATTGGCTAATCTAAACCTTCAGCAGATATCTATTGACTTGTCTCTTCCAATTTATTTGAAGTAAAAAATACATTTTCAGTATAGTTCTCTTCCAAATACTTCTTGATCTTCACTTGGGGCTTCTCTTAGAGACCCTTTTGTGCATAAGAGCTACCGAACCAGAATCGCTGTACTCTACTGGATAAATATCACCACTCATTACAAGTCAGAATACAACATTTGGATCCATCGCCCCTCCCCACCACCCATACCTTCCATCAGCTTACTGTAGTCGGGTGAGAAAGAAGATGGATAATAGTTGGTTGCAATAGACTAATGGACTTTACGCATGGTCCCTGCATTTTGCATTGCAAGCCAGCTAATCTCATTACCTGTTTGTAAGAGCCACGGAATACAACCGAAAGTCTTGAATTCTCCCAATAAATTGCTCCATGCCTAGTAACAATAACATACAAGGGTAGTAAGCCTTGATAATTATTTTCTACTTATGTTTACTAACTGTATTTTATATTTAAGGCTGAACACCAAGCAGATGTAAAACACACAAATTAATTCAGCTCTAACTTCATTAATATTACATTTTTAATGCAAGCAGTGTATGTATCCAAATTTGACCTGTTATAAGCCTCTTGCCTACAGCAGATCTCTTAACTGGAGGAGGGAAAAAAAGCACAAGAAGCCAATCAGTGCTGCTGCAGTGCTCATTTGCTAACAAGGGACATGCTGATAGGAGGAGAGGGTGAAGCCACGGATAAGTTACCCCGTCAGACTGCTGTTTCTCCTTTCTCTGTGCTAAGTGTTTCTTAGCTGCAGCAGAAAAAAATGGCCTCATGGCCTGTCAGACAGGGCTGTGCTGTGTGGCAGAGCTGTGTAAATATCAGAATGGGATGAACAGAAACACAAATCCTTTGGCACGTAAAGCAGATCCCATATATGTATTTTTTATGTGTATTTAACTGTTTGTCTTAAGTCTAACTTTAATTAAATAATTTGCATACATTTTGAGTAGATCTTACTGAGAATAGAGTTTGTATTTTAGATATACCAGCCCTTGAGCAAAAGTAAGAAATAAGATGTGCAGCCTTAGTCTTTAGCAGTAGAGTAAGATTCATATTTCCTGGGAAGAACATTTGATATCATCCTTCTATCATCATTCTGATTAGCTAGGTGGTGTGAAGCTGCCTCATTAGGCTGAGGCAATGAGCCAGGCCAAGTGCCACCTTTAATTAGTGAAATGATAGCTACAATTGTTCCTTAAGACACACTGTAAAGATAAAAAGTTGAACTGTAAAGGTGGACATGTACAGGAAAATCTGATGGCCTGCCAACAAGCGGTAGGACCTCAGAGGAGCTCCTTTTGCCAACATACATGTCCGCTATTCAGTGTATGCTGGACAGATCTTCCTAGAATGTGCCAAGAAGAAAGTAATTCAGGAGTGTTGGGTTATCTTTATTCTTCTCTGCCTTGTCATCAGAGTTACATAGAACAGGGGCAGAAATAAATCCAAACTGCCCACTTGCTAGTAATGCCAAATCCGTCCCCGGTATGTCATTATCAATATACACATACAGTGCAGTACTCTTTACAAGAAAATTATGCTGAATCAAAATGTCACAGAACAAATGAAAGATATATACATACTATTTTGTTTTTATTTTGTTTTTATCTTGTATGTCCTTGATGGACATAACTAGGAGCAGTATTTGTGCAACTAAGGTTAAACGGAACTCCAGTAAAAACATTTTTGATGATTGTGGTCAGAGTTTCAGACCTTTACTTCTGTTTCAGACACTATGCGGGAGGTATCCACTACCCGTAGCATGACACCAACATGATGAGTGCATCTTATGTTTTCAGTCAAAACACATACATCTCTGGCCTTAGTTCTCCATATATTGCTTTAGGGGAAACCATTATGGTATGCAGAATACATCTACATCTCTGGCTTTAGCTTTCCATAGTTTGCTTTGGACTATGGTGTGCAGAATACAGAGATGCTGTGTCTTCCACCATATACTGGAGTCTCCATTGCGTATTGAACATTGATGTGCCATCACAATCCAGGCGACATATCACGGCATGTAACTTCTGTGGGTGCTGAAATGACCAACTGATGGTGCCGTAAAACCAGGAAAATTAATAAGGTCACCAGCACATCGAGGTCCACTTTATCAATCCATCTTTTATTGGCATTCAGATAAACATGATCTCACAAGCAATCGCAACATTTTGGAACCACATATAGTCCCTTCATCAGGCAAAACAATGTGTCACATTGTTTTGCCTGATGAAGAGATTGCATGTGGTTCTGAAACCTTGTGATTGCTTTTGATACCATGTTTATCTGAACTTCAATAAAAGACGGATTGATCCCTTCCCTCTTCCCCCTTCCCTTCATCTCCTCTACTACATCCTTACGCGTGCCCCTAGACGTCATCCTAACCTATACTGAAAACAATCTGGGGGTGTTCTTACTTCTTACCTCATATCACTTTCATGACATTATTGTTATTTACAGTAACAGGCTGTTGAGGATATAAAATAACATGATATTTGTTTTATTTGTTTTAATGACGAAAACGCATAAGTTGCATAAGACATGTATCCAGCTGGCTGCATGACTGTATACCATTGTTTATGATTCGTCTACCACCAGTTGTTATGTATTCTACGAAATTCAATAAAGATATAAGTGCTTAAAAAAAAAAAGACGGATTGATAAAGTGGACCTTGGTGTACTGGTGAAGTTATTACTTTTCCATTTCATATAGAGACACACTCACTAAGGTGGAGACACTGTATGCTAGGATGAAAGGCCATGCTCAGCCTATCACTGGCAGTGAGTGGAGATCATCCAATAAGAGTGTTAGAGAGCAAAAGTAATTGATTGAGGCGTGGGCATTGAAAGTTGTTTCAACACCGATAAAGATGGACAGGTATGCACATTCTCTTTTCAGACAAACTGACAATAATCTAATCTCACAGTTAATGAATTTCATTCACTACAGGTAGATACAAATGCTACTTTATTTTAATCAAACACATTTCTACTGGAGGTTGGCATAAAAAGAAGCCTAATCGTACCCTTCATGTTTTGTCCAAGTCGTATATCACTGTTCTCAGCATTATCATAAACTGGATCAGTGAGTATTCTTGAGTCAAATGCTGTAAAATCTTCTTCTGGTCCATCAATGAAGAAACTTATCCTGGTGTAATGCACCTATGAAAACAATATCAACATATTATAACAAATAGTACTGAGATTTAGGCACACCAATTAAAGAGAACGTGTAGACCAATCTATTTTACCTTTAGAAAGTTGCTAAAGCTGAACACCAGGCAAATATAAAAGACCCAATGGGGTTGATTTACTAAAGGGTGATTGGTCACTTTGCAAGGGTATTTTCACTTAGCTTAGTCAGTAAGGTGACGTTCTGATGACCTTAATTATGTGCAAGCAAAATTCCTGTTTTTTTTATTTCTCTTGCACATGATTGGATAGTCTTTGCAAAGTTAATTTTCACCACATTCACTAAGCTAAGTGAAAATTCACTTTACAAAATGAAAATGCTCAATTTGTTTCGTAAATCAGGTTCTATGCGACTGATTCACAGAAGTAGTAAGGCATATTCAATTTGCAAAGTACAGGCAGTCCCTGGGTTACATACAAGATAGGGACTGTAGGTCCTTAAGTTGAATTTGTATGTAAGTTGGAACAGGTACATTTTTTAAGTGTAACTCCAGCCAAAAAAAACATATTTTAGTTTTGGATAGCATAGGAAATGGTCACATTTGTTTTGCTGTCTGTTCAGAAGATTACAATACAATAAAAACAACTTTTATTTAAAATGACACACCAAAAAAAGTTTTCTTCTATTTTTAATTTTATTTTATAAACTTATTTTTTTTTTATTTGTTTGGATGTTTAATTTTTATTTATTTAACTTTTTTAAAAATGTTTTTTTGTCTTTTTAACTTAATTTTTTATTTATTTTTTACTTTTTTTAACTTTAATGCTGGGAGCAATAGCCAGCCTGCTATTGGATATTTCAAATTGCAATAGGCAATAGCAGGCTGGCTATTGCATCTGCCCACTGCCTGCTGTCAATCAGCAGAGGAGGGGCCTGAAGGAGAAAGTTCTCTATCAGGTACTCCCATGCTGATTAACAGCAGGCAGTGGGCGGGTGCAATAGCCAGCATGTTATTGGCTATTGCATTTTACAGCCTGCAGATGAAGAGGAGGCAGGGGGGCGGGGCAGAGGAGCAGCGGCCAGACCGGAGGAGCGTCTGACCGGGGGAAGAGAAGCAGACGGACCAGGGGAAGAGGAGCGGACGGACCGGGAGAAGAGGAGGAACCGGCCAGGACAGCAGCCGAGGTATGGGGGAGGTATTTAGGAGAACTGTGGACCTCGGTTCGTAAGTACAGGTTTTCCGTAAGTCCGACATCCGTAAGTCGGGGATTGCCTGTAATTTTGACTTATCTGATAAAATGAGGTTTAACTGTGCTGACCTCTACCATCCAATCATGTACAAGCAAAAGTCCTGTTTTTTTTTCTTGCATATGATTAGGTATTTTTGGGGAGTTTTCACCACATTTACTAAGGTAAGTGAAAATTCCCTTGCAAAATGAAAATCCTCTACTCCAGGGAGTGAACATGCTCTAGTCCTGGGATTGGGAGCAAGAAAGATGCGCTGTCCAGTGAAGGATTGGGATGAAGAGAGGACACCTCTGCATTTCCTAACTGTAAGGGGTGTAATCAATTAGGCTGTGTTGTGTGGCAGAGCTATGTCAATCTCAGAACTAGATGGGCAGAAATACAAATCCTTTGGCAGACTTGTGGGGTGACAGCACCAGTTATTAATTCAGTGTGGGCAGCCCTCAATAATGCAAAGGTGTTTTCTGAATGAGATGTGTAATAATTATAATCTTATGTCTACTGTATGTGGTGTGCAATAAATTAGGTGCAATACAGCAATATACCAGGATTTTCAGTGGACCTATCTTTAAAATTCAAGTGACACTAAAGGCGTTGAATCTTAAAAATGCTTTCAAGTACCCCAACTATTAACAAAACTGCACCTTATACATGTATCACTCAGCTGTAGATCCTCAAATCAACTCTGAATTCATGCTGACACTGTCCTTCCTTCTGGAGGGGGGCTACTTTTGTTCCCCATGGTCCATGTGTGTGTTGTAAAGTAGCCACAGCTCCAAGCTTGCTCCTGTGATGGACTACAATCTCAATACAAATTAGTAAACTAAACATGAGATTATAGTTCATCCGAGGAGCGAGCTTGGAGCGGGGATGTGATCCAGCTATACTGTCTGAATGACAAAATTAGCTGGTAGTTAAAAAGGTTCCCATATACATAGTACAACCTCATAATCAGCTGCTTGCCTGGAGTTAAGCTTTAACATTTGATTACAGGTCCACTTTAATGAAATACACACTGCGCTTCCAATGCAAATCTGGACAGTTTGCTGTCTCCAGTTATTTAGATAGGAACATAATCACTTATGTTGGCTGAAAGTCTGCTTCATAAACACGCCAGGTAAAAAAGAATTAGCAATCAATGGGTAGAACACTTTTGTTGCAGTAAAATACATTTTCTCCAATAACAAAAAGACAATTAGAGGCTCGTCATATCCTGAAATTCCCCTTTGAAAATCACAGCGCAGTCACTCAGCGCTGCAGGTATAATGACTGCACCTACGTTTCCTTAAGGAAAGACAACATGAATTGTCTCCCATTCAAGTCCTAAGTGATTGTCATCAGCAGATCTGGAGCTCTGATGAAGGATAAACATCCCGGATGGATTACCTAAAGGGGTGCAAATTTGCCGTTGAGTATCATTACGTCTCTCACAGATTAGCTTCTAAACAACTTTCATGGTTCTGCAGTTTACAATTTCTGCAAATTGCACATTTCCCCAAACCATTAGAAGACAGAAACTCACCACTTTAAGGAATGAAAAATTAAATGCTCGAGTTATTATGCATTGCTCACAAATATTTGTTTAGCAGGTCACCCCCTCTCCATTTTTTTCTCCTGTTTTTCATATTTCACTATCTCCATGCATGAATTTCATTACAAAAGCTTTTAAAAATAACAAGTGCGGACGGAATTGTGTTTTCAGTAATATTATTAAAAATATATATTTTTTACAGCCTGTTACTGTCATTCAGTTCCCGACTGTTATCATTATAAAAGATACAGCCATCCCAGTGCGTTATTTGTAACATTATCTCATGTTTTACAACATCTCTGCGCAATGAGGAGACGTGCAGTATGAAATATAACTCAGAGAGAAACTTCTTGTTGGCGTTAATGTATAAAAGGGGAATGTGGTTCCATCTCTACTGTCTTTACCCAGCCAAATCCTGACGAACAGCCAATTTCTTTTATCACATTAACACAGCCATGAGGGAAACACATTTGTTCAAGTCAACTACACTAAAGATACCATTACCAATGCAGCATATACATGTTTTATATCAGCTGTATTCTCAGAGTATGAGGGAGCAAACAATATATTAAGACTACACTGACAGTTTATTTAAGAAAAGAAAATTGTCTCTGCAGAGGGACAGAAGTTAGCAATGTATAGCTAAAGCTCGGTGTCACCAATCTAATAAAGGTAATAATTCTTAAGAAGCTTTCTTTATAGCAGGAAACACTCTTGCGATAGTCCTGTCATATCATTCAAAATAAAAATGTTCTTTTATAAGTTTAACTATACCTTTATTTCTAAGTAAAAATTCAATTTATTTTTATATTTTTCTTGTAGTTTTATTTTGTGTTTCTTTTCACCATTCTATTTCTCTTTTTTTTATTGTTTTCCTTTTTTATTTGCTGTGCTATTTATTTAGAATTCTAATGTATAAATGAATGATTCCTTTTTATCATATTTCCCGGTTTAGAAATATGTTTTCCTTTTCTTTTTGCTAGTTTTCAATATTGCTCTTCTTTATGTATTATATTTTATATCTTTGGCTTCTCGTCTTTTGTTTCTGCTTTTTTAAATAGCTGCTTGTTTTTTTTTTGTTTATAATTATTTTTCTGTATGCTACATTTTCTTTCTGTGGTTTGTTGTGTTTTATTTTTTGTAATTATACCACACATTTACAGTTTGTGCATGAAATCAATTTATAACATGCACAGAAATCTTAGCTGGTGCTTGGTATTCCTTTAAAAATAAATAAATAATAAAATGTTCTTTATGTTGCTATGAAAAGCTTTAGCACAAGATCAATTGGAAATTGTACAGTGGTGTTGGTGGAAACATTTATATTAATGATGGTATCCAAGAAAGGTTAGACTGCTCAATATTTTTTCTTGAGAGATGAACAATGGAAGGTAAGAGATTGCCTGCAATAGCCATTCACAATGCCTGTCCAGTGAACACATGAAGTTATAATTTGTAATCATCACTAGTTTTGATATCATTGACAACTGTACAGATTGGATATGGTCTAAGTTTTTTAAAAACCAGCAACAAACAAATATAATACTGTGTTCATATATTGTACTGTACATATGTTCTAAAGTTAATACTCAAAACAGTGGCTTATGTTTTTTATATACTTCACAGTTAGCAGTGAACTCTTTCCATTACCAAGGCATGGTCCATCAAGGTTTACCTTGCCTATGCTAGGTTACCATGTGGCAGGTCAAGTCAAGCAGAAGCAGCCAGTCGGTGCCCATCTTACATAGATATTGCCCTGTGAGGCTTTTGAAAGGAAACTTCAATTTGGATGGATAGTGACACTCATGGCTGAAGGAGAGGGAATTGCTTGTAGCAACAAAGGTGAAGTATGTGATGGCTATGTTAATAAAATTACTTTTGTGACAGTTATGCAATAAAAACACTTAATAGGCACCAAGAGCCAATAACCCCCAATCTCACCCACTTTCTAATTATACTACCCTTTATATAATGCTGTGGTTGCCATATTCTTGGTACCATTGTAAATAGCTGGCGATGGCAGTTCAGATACAAGTGGTCCAGTGGCTGTACAGCCAACTGTTCATTTGTACGCAGTGTCAGTGTGTGCCCCTGCCACCGGCTACCCCGGGCTCAACTGTCCCTTGTGCAGGCCTGGGACTGGCACGGCGGTTCTCCCCTCTTCGATCGGAGGCAGATCAGCAAGCTTCTAGCTGCCAATCTCTACTCCAATCACTGGACCAGGAAGTGATGTGTATTACATCACTTTCAGTG